TTCTTCCCTGGCTCGCATGTATCCCCGCTTGAATGACTACATTTCATGCATGCATGTTTGAAGTAAATTTTGTTTCATTGTTTCACCACTTTTGTTTTAACAGTGGCGTTCTGATCTTCTTGATGAGCAGCTACTAGTTACTTAACAAAGGGATTTTTTGGATACAATTATATATTGGGTATTTAGTACGAAAGGTATGCGTTTTAATTATATGTCAAAATATATTAGAACAACAAACTCAAATGATTTTATTTTGAAATTTGTCGTCAATGAAATTGAAAGAGCTAAAAAGGGTTCTGCGACAATTTTGAACACATTCGAGAAACTGGAGTATGATGTTATCGATGTCCGTTCATCTGTTCTTTTGCCGATTTATGTTGTTGGACCATTGCATTATCTCCAAAATCAGATCAACAATAACAATTTGAGGTTGCTTGGATCAAATCTTTGGAAAGAACAGTCAGAGTGTCTTGAATGGCTTGACTTGAAAGAACCCAAGTCTTGTGTGTATGTGAATTTTGGACGCGTCACGGTCATGACACCAAAACAACTTGTTGAGTTTGCTTGGGAACTAGCTAATAGCAATCAAACCTTCTTGTGGGTAATAATGCCTGATCTTGTTGTTCATGGTTTGGGTGTTTTTCCACCTGAATTTATGGAGGAGACAAAAGATAGGGGTTGATTACGCTCAAAGAATGACGTGGTAGCTGTAGCACAGCTTTGAGATGTCGATTCCACAGAGAGACAAATTAAAAGAATAATAGAAGAAACAAATAAATTAAAAAAAAATATTTAATGATTACTTGAGAACAACGATTAATTTTAAATGCAAATTAAAATGAAGCAAAGTGACTAACGAAAAAAATATTCAAATTTGATAAACAGTAAAGCGTTGGGAATCCCTTGCACAAATGTGGTATTTTAATTATTCTTAATTCATTGAATTACTCAATTGAGAATTTAATTCTCAAAATTCCCAACCGAAAGATATAGATTTATAAATCAAGATTAAACCAAATGTAATCATTTGAAAAATCATTCAACACTTTTAAAATACGTCGATTATTATCATTATTGAGAAAATTCAACGACGACAATATACTCAAGAAATAATATTGCAGTAAAGTATTAAATCAATATAGATAAATAATGGATCCAAACATAATCAAAGAGTTAATCCGTTCAATAGAAAAAACATGATTGAATCCATAAACAGAATAAATTCTATGATTATTTGAAAAAGAAAACATTAACAATAAATTGAAAATGATAAAATAAAAGAGTTGTACTAATTAGAAATCAAATGCATAAATTAAAAATAAATAAAATATCATCTATTGTGCAAGTTTATCCCTTGCGCTACTTGAAAATTTAGTTACCCATAAATATAATAGAGAACAAAAATTTCTTGAAAAAATAGAACAAATCGGCGGCCATCGGAATTTTGCTGCTTCTAAATTGCGTCTCCGTTCCCAACCAGAACAGCCAACTCCCTGTTTTTTGTATTTCTCCAGCCACCACACAAGGAAAAAGAAGAAAAAAAAAACACAGCTGCCCCAAAGGCCCAAGTTTTAAAGTCAAACTTTTTTCTTGAGAAAAGTCATTTTTCATCTCCTCTTGATTCCAATCTTTTTACTTCAGTCCCTAAAGTTCAAATTTTGTATAATTTCAAAAAGATAAAACCCAATAAAAATTATGAGTGTTGGACCCACGTAACAGCAGCATCAGTTTTAGTTTTTTTACTCCATGGATTGCCATCAAAATAAAAAAAACAAATATAAAAGCCTAATAATAAAGTTCAAAAAATGTTGAGTGTAAAGCCCAATTGTAAATTATCTCTCACCGATCAATAATGCAATATTTAAGATTTAAAATATTATAAAATCATGTTCAAATATATCTTAGTGTGAATAGATATTAAATTCAATAATATAAATTATATTTAATTATTTCTATTCACATTTTAACATTTTAATCTGATAATAGGGTATTTAGCATGCACTTTCGCGCACTCATCACACCCCCCAACTTACTCATTGCTAGTCCCTAGCAATTTTCATGCCGAAACAATGAAAGAAAACAAAGAAAATCACACACAGAGGTCACCGAGTCACACTTTCCAGATTCACATATCAAAACAATCTTAGGAATTCAATACCTCATCACAAGCAATCCACCTAAAGCAATCCATAGAGTGTGTGTGTGTTCTAAACTATATCCATCAAACCAGAAGCCCTCNCGGTAGCTGTAGCACAGCTTTGAGATGTCGATTCCACAGAGAGACAAATTAAAAGAATAATAGAAGAAACAAAAAAATAAAAAAAAAATATTTAATGATTACTCGAGAACAACGATTAATTTTAAATGCAAATTAAAATGAAGCAAAGTGACTAACGAAAAAAATATTCAAATTTGATAAACAGTAAAGCGTTGGGAATCCCTTGCACAAATGTGGTATTTTAATTATTCTTAATTCATTGAATTACTCAATTGAAAATTTAATTCTCAAAATTTCCAACCGAAAGATATAGATTTATAAATCAAGATTAAACCAAATGTAATCATTTGAAAAATCATTCAACACTTTTAAAATACGTCGATTATTATCATTATTGAGAAAATTCAACGACGACAATATACTCAAGAAATAATATTGCAGTAAAGTATTAAATCAATATAGATAAATAATGGATCCAAACATAATCAAAGAGCTAATCCGTTCAATAGAAAAAACATGATTGAATCCNCAAAGAATTAAATCAATATAGATAAATAATGGATCCAAACATAATCAAAGAGCTAATCCGTTCAATAGAAAAAACATGATTGAATCCATAAACAGAATAAATTCTATGATTATTCGGAAAAGAAAACATTAACAATAAATTGAAAATGATAAAATAAAAGAGTTGTACTAATTAGAAATCAAATGCATAAATTAAAAATAAATAAAATATCATCTATTGTGCAAGTTTATCCCTTGCGCTACTTGAAAATTTAGTTACCCATAAATATAATAGAGAACAAAAATTTCCTAAAAAAATAGAACAAACCGGTGGCCACCGGAATTTTTCTGCTTCTAAATTGGCGTCTCCGTTCCCAACCAGAACAGCCAACTCCCTGTTTTTTGTATTTCTCCAGCCACCACACAAGGAAAAAGAAGGAAAAAAAAAAACACAGCTGCCCCAAAGGCCCAAGTTTTAAAGTCAAACTTTTTTCTTGAGAAAAGTCATTTTTCATCTCCTCTTGATTCCAATCTTTTTACTTCAGTCCCTAAAGTTCAAATTTTGTATAATTTCAAAAAGATAAAACCCAATAAAAATTATGAGTGTTGGGCCCACGTAACAGCAGCATCAGTTTTAGTTTTTTTACTCCATGGATTGCCATCAAAATAAAAAAACAAATATAAAAGCCTAATAATAAAGTTCAAAAAATGTTGAGTGTAAAGTCCAATTGTAAATTATCTCTCACCGATCAATAATGCAATATTTAAGATTTAAAATATTATAAAATCATGCTCAAATATATCTTAGTGTGAATAGATATTAAATTCAATAATATAAATTATATCTAATTATTTCTATTCACATTTTAACATTTTAATCTGATAATAGGGTATTTAGCATGCACTTTCGCGCACTCATCACATCCCCCAACTTACTCATTGCTAGTCCCTAACAATTTTCATGCCGAAANCAAACCACCCTCTTACCACAAAGCTTGGATGAGTGCATTGGGGATTCTATGAATGCTTCAGAAAAAAAAATGATTATAATGGGTTTGGAGAATTCACGAAGATGAATATGAATGAGAATAAATACACATGTGAAAAAGGATGTATGTGTGATGTAAAATTAAAAATATTTCACACATGAAAATATGCCACAGAGTTCCAATAAGCATTTTAAATATTGAATTTGCTTCACCACCCCCCAATTTAAATGAAACACTGTCTTCAATGTTTAAGAATCAAATTTGAATGGGGAGTAACTAAAAAGGGTAGAATACACCTGATGAGTGACGTGGGTAGTTCGCTAAGCACCAAAGATGGTAACCTGAAATGACAAAATGAAACTTAACCTGTAAATAAAAACAAAGAAAACAACAGCAAACTAAAAGGAAAATAAAATAAAATAAACAAAATAAAATAAACAAAACAAATAAAGAAAAACATACTTGCGTGGTGTGGTCAAGCTTAATAGACTGGATCCTCAAGTGGAATGTCTTTCACTTCTGAAACTTGCCTATCAATTAATACTTTAAGGCGTTGACCATTTATTTTAAAGATCCGACCATTCTTAGGATCCTCTATTTCCACTGCCCCATATGCAAAAATATTATTCACTACAAAAGGTCCGGTCCACCTAGACCTAAGTTTTCCTAGGTGCTTATGGAGTCTGGAATCATATAAGAACACTCAATCATTAGGCTTAAAGTTTTTCTCAAAATATTTTTATCATGAAACGCTTTCATTTTAACCTTATAGATTCTAGAGTTCTCATAATCATCATTTCTCAACTCCTCTAACTCGGTCAACTAAACTTTTCTAAGCTTACTTGTTTCTCCCATGTCAAAATTGAAATGCTTGATGGCCCAATAGGCTTGATGCTCGAGCTCNATAAACAAAATAAAATAAACAAAACAAATAAAGAAAAACATACTTGCGTGGTGTGGTCAAGCTTAATAGACTGGATCCTCAAGTGGAATGTCTTTCACTTCTGAAACTTGCCTATCAATTAATACTTTAAGGCGTTGACCATTTATTTTAAAGATCCGACCATTCTTAGGATCCTCTATTTCCACTGCCCCATATGCAAAAATATTATTCACTACAAAAGGTCCGGTCCACCTAGACCTAAGTTTTCCTAGGTGCTTATGGAGTCTGGAATCATATAAGAACACTCAATCATTAGGCTTAAAGTTTTTCTCAAAATATTTTTATCATGAAACGCTTTCATTTTAACCTTATAGATTCTAGAGTTCTCATAATCATCATTTCTCAACTCCTCTAACTCGGTCAACTAAACTTTTCTAAGCTTACTTGTTTCTCCCATGTCAAAATTGAAATGCTTGATGGCCCAATAGGCTTGATGCTCGAGCTCCACAGGTAAGTGGCAAGACTTTCCAAAAACAAGCCTATAAGGTGACATGCCTAAAGTAATTTTGAAAGTTGTACGGTAAGTCCAAAGCGCATCAACTAGTCTCAAAGATCAATCCTTGCGATCCGAGTTGACCTTTTTTTTTCTAAAATTTGCTTAATTTCCTTGGTTGTCAGTTCTACTTGTACACTTGTCNGAAGAGAACCAAAATCTTGGAGCTTTCAGCCTTATCTTTCTAGCTTCCCTTGGACACTCCGGGAGATCTCCTGTTGTTAGGAATTTGACAAAGGGGTCGATCCAACTGAGCTGCTGGGGCGCGTCCTGGATAACCATCGCCTCGAGAGTATGATCAATGCAGGATGTGGNTCCAAAGCGCATCAACTAGTCTCAAAGATCAATCCTTGCGATCCGAGTTGACCTTTTTTTCTAAAATTTGCTTAATTTCCTTGGTTGTCAGTTCTACTTGTACACTTGTCTGAGGGTGATAGGTAGTAGAAATCTTATGTACCACCCCATATTTTTTCATCAAAGCTTCCAAAGAACGATTGCAAAAATGCGTACTTTGGTCACTAATGATAGCACG